ATTTATAGTAACAATGATAGTGTGCGGGATTTGTAAAACTCGTTAGCAGAACGGAAGTGTGGGAACATTCCGCACCAAAGGGGAGTTACAGTTAATATTAAAAAATTAAAACTATTTGATATTATAGACTTTTAAAAATCTGTCACTTACGAAATGTAATTACTAACATGTTTGGTTTTTAATTACCTATTTTTGATAAAATTCAATAGGGTTGACGAGTTCCCTGTCGATAATATTTATCGATTTTTTTTTCTACCAAAATCTGCTTATGACAGTGGAAGTCGTTGACACAAAAATAATTATCAACTTTTTTTTAAATTTATGAGTTTTCAACTGACGCTATACTAAAATTGTGACTAAAAAACATAAAACTTGTAAATTGGCGTCCGAATCAAATTTATTATGATCTCAATAATTTGTAGTATAGTATTCTTGAACGTAATTTAAAGTTTTGTAAAATTCTAATTGTACGTATATTGTTGAAATAGGCACAATATTTGACTGCTTATCGATTTTCCCTTGTACGAAGACTAAATTAATGATTAAAAATAAATTCTTTAAAAATTTATATTATGTTTATTTGTACTCACCTACTTCAGTTTTTCCTACTCATTGTACTTTTGTAAACCTCTCAAATAAACCATACATACCTAATGGTAAAACCAACATAGATAGACTAACGCAGCGTCGATTTTCGTTTTATATTGGCATAAAAGCTTGTGTCTAAGACATAAGTGTTAAATGATAAATTTATTTATTATATGGCATTATATTGTAATGATACAGGATAGGTCTGGGCAAAGAATATTATACCGATATATTTTGTCACACTGTCCTATCTCTATTATTAGTTCCGCGGATGCCCACAACTGCTATCAGCGCCAAAATGGCGAAAATCAAATCGCCTCATTATTTCAAAGTATAACCAGTCCAGCTTACTTATATACACACACACATATATATATATATATATATATATATATGTAGTGAGCCTCCAAGAGATTGCTTCATAGGAGGGGTATTTGGCATGGTTGCCATGCTTGACAGGCGGGTTTGGCAACACGTGGTAGACGTGTGTCGGAGCAGCTATTATATATGTTGTTGCACTAATGATTCGATTCGACCGGGGACCACGCTCTCACAGAATACCAGTTTTAAAATAGCAGCTTAAGGCTACTTAGTTTTTTATGGTGAGTGTTAAGAACCGAAGACCCTTTTTACTGAAAACGAGGCATTACATCTTTGTCCTTCATGGTTTTAATGGACACAGCTGCAATTCGATTTCTTTCATTTACATTCTTAATCGACGATAGATGTCTAGGTGACTGCATCCACTAACCGCCAGGTGGATTAAAAAAACATTATTTGAGATTTTAACTGACTTCAATGAGCCGTGGTAGCGCACATGGTTAACGCCCGCTGTAAATATAACAGCACGCGAGTAACCCGGGTTCGATCCCCGCCTGCACCAATGAAATTGTTAATTGCAATTTTAAGTGCTGTTTTACCACGTGCTCGGCGGTGAAGGAAAACATCGTGAGGAAACCTGCATGTCTGAGGAATAAGAATAAAATATTTCGAAGACATGTGAAGTTCGCCAACACGCATTGGCGCAGCGCGGCGGACACTTCCTTCCCCTAAAACCCTCTCAGAAATGAGGGGAGGCCTGTGCCCAGCCGTGGGGTGTATATAGGCTGTAACTTTACTTTTTACCTATACTTTCAATGAAAACAGATAAGGAATTGACTTTCGTTACCAAAATGCCGCTCCTAAATCCTGTTGCCCGGTGCCGTGACCCCTCGGCCCAGCTCTTGCTACGTCACTGGACAGAGGCATCGTCCTGATATCAATTGAAGCGCAACTGACAACTGTGGCAAAATTCCTCTCGTGTGGCAATTTATGGGGTGGCCTATGTTCAGCAGTTGATAAAAGAATTAACGAAAATATTGACTCCTTATCAACATCTTTAAGTCAGACGAACTAATTGAATTTGATTGAAATTGATTCTCTCGGCGTGCCACAAATACAACGTCTGAAATACATTGCACAATTGCTCCCTCCCTAGAAAAAATTAATTTGTTGCCAATCATTTGGAACGAATTGCGCAGTTAATGCTACAAGACGCAGCCTTGCATGTTTGGATGCTAGCTTTTGCATTCAGTTTTGGTTGTTATTTATTTTGGTTTATAAAGCATTGGATAGCATACTGACCGTGACGAAACCTCAAAGGAGGGTAATGTATACCTACTCTAAAACGTTAATATTTTTAGTTAAATATCTAGGATCGATCGATTGCGATAATCGATGTGTCATAAATATTATAATCTTATATTAATAATCTATATTACTCGCGTATGACCACCATACGAAACACAGCAACACTAAGCTGCTATTTTACGCTGGTATTCTGTAATTCTGTACTTTGTAAGATGACGTTGTGATCAGGATTAAGAAAGGAATGCTTCGGTGGTTTGGTCATGTAGAAAGAATTAATGAGGAAAGAGTGACAAAGCAAATTTATGTTGCAGAAGTGAATGGCAGAGTCGGAAATGGTCATCCTAGGCGAAAGTTTATCGACCAAATTGGCAATATATTAAAAATGGGCAAAATTAGGAGTACCCTTAACCGACGAGCACGTATGCGTAGGTATATGAATGTGGAGGAGGCGAGAGAGGTGTGTCAGGATCGTGCCATATGGAAGTCTGTAGTCTCTGCCTACCCCCCTGGATGACAGGCGTATTTATGTATTTTGTAAGAGCGTGGTCCGTCGCCGGTCGAGCCTACCTACTCGAGCTACAACCATAACATAGCTGCAGCGTGGCTCTACCGCGTATGGTTGATGAAAGGTGACAAATGAGCACACAATCTACCTGACAGTAATTAGATTTTTTTATAGAAGAGGGGGGCAAACGAGCATGCGACTCACCTGGTGTTAAGTGACTACCACCGCGCATGATCAACCTCAACACCAGGGGAATTGCAGGTGCGGACGGGCCCTTTAGAAGGGAGTAAGCTCTTTTCTTGAAGGTTGAATTAAATGTCATGTCCTATAGATAAGTACTGAATTTACGTATGTATTTATTTATTCATTGTAACCTACCAACGGTCTCCCCATAGAATGCCTCATAAGGGTGACATTTTAGTTGGCCCACGAGGGAGGTGGTATCAACCCTTAGTTTTTTATTATTTTGAGATCAGGAATGAGTTGCCACTTATCTCCTGTAATGGGAATAATGGTAAAAACGAAAGCGTTTCTTTTAGAAATTGGTATGGTAATATGTTTTACCATTAACTTTTTCGCGGAAGGTTACGTGATAACTCGCAGCGAATCACGGCGCATACAATACGTTTGAAGAGGACGGGGAGCAAGTAGCCTGTATTTACTTTACTGAGATGACTAAATTATTAATATTTATTGAGAATCTGTGGACAGTATACACGAACTGAAGACTTAACAAAAACGGTTCTACTAAAATAAAAGATGGGCCAATAAAAATTTATTATACTATTAACAACTTATGTTATACCTACTATTAGCACAATTTATAACTATTTACACTAATATGGAAGTACTACAGGTATTTTTTCTTTCTGTTCCTCTTTTCTTGGTGTTTGGGAGCTCTTCTTGCTGCAAGTGCATCCGCCGGCCAAGGCCAAGTGCTCGCCTTTTATTCAGTCGCGGACTTGAGGCGCGTTGATTGGTTGCACGCATCGTGGGATGATGTCGCCTGCGGGGTAGGGTTAGTATATAACTTACTATAGTATCTATCTCGATTGTCTCGTTGGTCCAGTGTTTGTAGCAGTGCGACTGTTCATCATGAGGTCCTGGGTTCGAATCCCGGGTCGAGCCAAAAATAAGTTTATTGGGTTTTTCCGTCAAGAAATTCTAAGTAGCTGCCCGTAGAAAAAGTTGGCGGTTTGATCACTCTCGTATCTCGGAAAGCACGTAAAGAAGTTGGTCCTGCGTCTGATCTCTTTCCGGTCCTTAGTTACCTTAGTTTACCGTCCCATCAGACTGAAAATGAGGGAATAGAGACTGCACCTATGCCTGCACGTACACTTCGGCACTAAAACCTGTTCTGTGCCGATGATCTCAGTTAAGGCTGGCCGCCGTGACGGAAATTCTATTTAGAGAACATTATTATAATATCTAGGTAAGTTTGAGTTTTTGTTGCTAAATAAAATTACAGGTGCGATTATGAGTAATATTTAAAAAATACAATTAATAATATACAACCATTTAGAAGCGGTGCAAGAATTTCCACTGCCTAATAGCATCCCGTGGGTGTCGTAAGAGGCGACAGAGGGAAACTAATCTGTAGAATGGCAGCAGAGTCTTTCTAGTAATGACTAAAAATAAAAAATGAGTGTGCTTATGAACACACAACTGAAGTTAAACTTCTTTAGCTCCATCTGTATGTATATATATGTTTATATATGCATATATATAACATATACATTTATATACATATAAATATATTAATTTTCTACAAATATTTAAATGTATTATCGGCTTCCTTCCTTAATTTGTAATTATTCACCCTAAAATTCACAAAACTTGAACTTCAAAATGAATTTACAATTTTTTACATTTAAAACATAGAATATTTAGTGTGTTGAACAAAATATTAATTCCTAAAATACGGAACGTCACTTGCTGTGAGAGTAAGAGAGAAAGAAAATGTGCGCGCGCACATGCTCTCTTTTACGTATATCGCCCATTCAACTTCCGTTCGTCTTTCCCGATCACACTTTTCGTAACGCTTTAGTCAAGTGTTCGTCAGCTTACACCCCAAGTCAAGCGTGGCAACTATGGCAGAATCCCCCCTAAACAGTAAACTTTTATAGGCTGTAACGGAAGGATTGACGAATGGAATATTATACAAACAAAAATGTTACGTATTTTATATATGTGTGCATAAGAACGGGTATTGATTTAACTTTTACTCTACGTAATCAATTAATTACGCAGCCAAGTCGGAGTTCACTTCGGGTTTGATATGAAACCAGTGATGACGAAATCAAGGAGTATTCACGTGTTGTTTTGCGTTATGTTATTTGGTATGATATTTTCGTATTTACTAAATATCTGTTTTTGAAACTATGGTTAGTGGTTAGCAGAGTTAGTCGCTTTTATTTACATAATTTTATTATACTAAAGGTATAAAGTTTGTATATTATGTGTATATTATGGTATGGTATGGTATATATGGAAGTAGTTATATCGGAACCGAATTCGGAGGCAGTTTTTAAATTTGATGTGTAACCTGAATCGGATGTGAAGGAGGAAAATATAGGAACGTGTTAACGGCACGTCTAATAAAACAAAATTACACACATATTCATCACAAATATATTCGGTAAAAAACTGTCTTCGTCTTAACTGATAATTTGGCACTATGAACTGCATAAGTCGTCAAAATCCAATACCTTCCACGAAATTGAAGGGAAGATCTTGCAAATTGTAAAGCCTCCCTGGAAAGGAACCACCCTGAAACCATTTCAGGGAGGTTCCCCGCGCCATAAGTATAAACTTGTTCACGCAGATAGCGGCCGCCGCTATGGATCGACTTCCGATTAAAATTTATCAAAATCGAAATTGGAATCGAAGGCGCAAAATCAATCGGAACTTCAGAACTTTCGGTATTGGAATCAAATCTCCGTAATATCTCTAATACATACCATACCATTTATTTAAATTCAAAATGCGTGCTAAATTGACTTAGCGTAGAGACTACATCACCTGAAGATGCCTCGTATAGAGGCGAAACACGTGTCGTATTATCATCGATGGTGTGTCTTTCCTGGAATAGTGGTGTTGGAAGTAGTAGTGCCGGGAGTAGTAGGGTTGGGAGTAGTGGTGTTGGGAGTAGTGGTGCTGGTACTAGTGGTGTCGGAGTTAGTGCATGCAATTGAGGGAGGGCGGGAGGTGCTCTTCAATCCAGGTAAGACACATCATTGTATTTAATTAAACGGATGGTTGTGAATTAAAAATTAATATCTTTATTATAATGAATTTGCGCAAAGTAACGCCTGGTTCTATCAATTATCATAAAAGTAGAAGCCTTATTTACTCGTATTTTTAAAAACTGCAATAACGGTATATCGTTATTTATATACCTTAACTTAAATTTAAAACTTGGCTACTCTGAAATATAACCCTGTATTGTCCTCTACTGCATCAGTCGTTTGAATCAGTATTGTCTGTATTTTTTTAGGATTTATTAACAAAACTCAAGGAAATACCGTACTAACAAGGATGCTGAATGAATCCAATAAAAACAAGAATAATTTGGCCAAACGTCAATTTACAAAGGAAAATACAAACGATACTGTTTATGTTATACACAGGAGAACAAATTGCATACAGTTTGGAGAACGACCTGTCATTTGTATTGAAGTAGTAAATGACGAAAAGAAGCATTTGGAGCAGCCTTATGAGGATTTTAATGATTTCAAAGAAATTTCTGATTTCATATCTAAACCTAATATAAAAGAGCTTCTCACAGGTAACATAAACGATACACCTTTTGTAGACCAAACACGGTTAGAAAAAGATTTAACGAATTTCCGCGACGTTACCCGATCACGTTCCAACGGCTTTTCTGAAGATTACCTTGATGTTAATGATTTAAAATTATACAGAAAATTGTCGACTAAGAACAGAGGTATAGGTTTGCCAAAAAAACCACGTAGACTGAAAATAATTGTAATGAATTCTAAACGACATCCAAAACATGAAAGGCCTGAATCAAAATATAGTAGAAAGTTGTTCGAGTTAGGAAATGACAAAACGTTAAGATCAAGTGAAGCAGACAACGAAAGTTCTGAAGAGACAGCTAAAGAATCTTCTAATGAAAATGTTGACAAAATGAATGAAAAAGGACCGAAACCGAAAAGGTTTGAAGTAATAGAGAATACTGAAGAGTGGGAGGAAGATGCAGTAATATCTGACGAATCTCGAGAAGATTCGACAAATGAGGCATTTCTGAAAATACCTGAAAACATAAGCAACAAAAATAAAGAAAAATTTTTGTACGCGCAGAGTCCAACAAGACATTTGTCATTAAATATGTCTTCCGACGATAGAAGACGAAGACTTCCACATTTCCTCCCGAAACGGTACCATTGGAGTAAAGACGACATGCGCCATTTGCCATATTTGTGGTACAATGGCCCCCAAGGACTGCATCCAGGAATATATAGAAAACCGTACTGACCATAACATTTTTTTTGTATTTTTAAAACTTAATTAATAGCTATTTCAGACGTAAAGATTAAACTTTTATTAAAAAGTATCAAAGAACTAAAAATAATAAAATTAACTGAGTCCAAAAAGAGAAGGTTATTTATTTGACATGTATATTTATTTTTGTAAACTTATGGTCGTCGAAATTAAATTAATATTCTGTACCACAGGGGCGGTTTTATACAGGGTGTTAGTGTAAACACCGTTATCCTTGAAACCAGTGGTTTGGTTTCACTTATAGAACACAAATTCAATGAATTAAACAATCACACAAGCAAAAATCTAAATTTTTCCTTAATTCGTTAATTTTTGCCTATCCTAAGCCAGGATGAAAGTATGAAGGAAAAGTTACATCCTATGATGTAACTTTTCCTTCATACAACCTGTGTTGTGTGTACCTATTGTGTATTTATTGGAATGTTGTGTAGGTAGCTAGCGCGGGCGGTGATCTTCACAGTGATTACGTCACTCGGGCGCATAGGGTATCCATGAATTTACAGACGGTGTGGACAGAAACTTTTTAAATTTTATGAAAGAAAATAGCGTTTGTTTTTATTCATTGAATTTACGTCCTATAAGTGAAACCAAACCACTGATTTCAAGGATAACGGTGTTTACACTAACAGCCTGTATAAAACTAAGGAAAAATTCCGGAATTTTGAAAAAATAAACAATCACACAAACAAAGATTTCAATTTTCGGTATCAACGGATAAGTTATAATAGAATTTCTATCTGGACATTTTTCGATCCAGATAGACCTGTCAGGATTCTTATGGCAACTTAATATTTTCTATCGGGCTTTTACCACTTTTCCAAAGATGATTTTGAGTTGAGTTCAAAATGATGAGATCAAGATCCTAATGTAACTATATTACATTCTACATTCTAGGCTACATTCTAGTCTGGCCTTGAACTGTTTATATCCTTTAAACCACTGAAAAAAATTAAACTTTTAATAAAAATTACAAACCGGCTTCAAAATTAAAAAAATATATTAAGCCCCAGTGTTCATTAATTTGTTTATTATTGTTAAGTAAGTTGTTTTGAAAATTTTGTCATTAATGTTTACAACAATTATTCAAAACCGATACCTAATAATTTTTAAAACAAAACCTAAAAGGAAACTCCTTTAAAGTAGCCAGCGTAAAAAGCCGAACTGCTTAAGTGCGGTGTAATGTGAGAAAAGCATCCCTGGTAGGAATATTATTGCATTTTTTTTTAAAGATGAAAAAGATTTTTGGTACTCTTGGGTCCAGTTAAAGTTAACATTTTGCGGCATTAAGGGTTAATATTTCTTTACAAAGTTTGGAATATTTTTTTTGTAAAAATTAATAAATGTCATAAATATTTTTGTTTCGTCGGCTCATTGAGGTTAGGCAATTAAGAATTAACTTTTCTTGGTCAGGTTTTATACCCTCAGCTGAGACAAACATGTCCTAAAAACCGTATTTCCTTTCTTAAGTACTACTTATCGAAAGACCATGTTGTGTGAGATAAAAATAAAAAAATATTATGTTCCCATATCAGCGACGGACAACAGCTTCAAAGATGGTCGCGTCTAGTAATGCGGTCGTTAATTCGACTGGATCCACAATAAGAGAAGGTTATGTCCATGTTCAACATCATCTTCTGTTGGAGAGAAGAGTTATTTATTAAATATAATTTTAAAAAAATTGAAGAATTTATAAGATGACCGTGCTTTAACTAGTAACAGTTCAACAGATGAGGCATCTGCAACTTATGGACTTTATGCAAATCATTAAAAAAAATAAGATGAAAAATACTCCACAGTCTATAATACATATGTTATGTCGCCTCTACACGTTGGCCAACACAGTGGCGAATGGACTGGAGAATATATTGGCCGAGAGTTGGTGACGGCGTCCACACGTTGGAAGGTCGTTCAGTTTACTTCGGTTCGGGCCAATGTGCGGACGAACGACGGCTCCGTGGCGCAGTGGCTTAGCAATGAGTAGCTGTGCCGGGGGCCGCGGGTTTAAATCCCGCACGGAACATGTATTTGTATATCCTACAAATAATTGTTTGGGGTCTGGATGTGTGTCCTTGTGCAATTTATGTTTGCAAGCTACCTCCGCGATACAGGAGAAAATCCAAGTGTTATCACAAGTCCACTACTGAACATCCTAGGGGGTTAAGTTTTTATAAAATAATTATAAAAGAATAGTGGATATTAATGGGGCTGTAAATAGAAATACTAATTAGCTTTATTTATTCTTTACATGCATCATAAACTGGTATAAATACCATTAATAAGAACTTAACTTATTTTAAAGTTAAAGGAGTTATAATCGATTAGTCTATGTTTTAAAATTGGATTTTGATTTTAAAGATTAGCAAAATATGTACTTGCATTTCTATCAGACATTTGATGTATATAAAAAACACCTTATAATTTATTTGGTAATTTAATTATGTTTTGAGAAAGACAAAAACAATAGCAATAAATATAATTAACACTGACTTAATAATAGGTACTAATTATAACTTAGAACATAAATGAAAAACTCATGACGAGCAAAGTGGCTCAGGACCATGCTTTGCGGCATTCTTTGGAGGAGGATGTTCAGTAGTGGACTTGTGAAGAGCTGTAATGATGATGATGATTCGAAAACTTGCACGATTAAATTATTAGAAATCGACGCTTTTTTATATAGGATAGGGTGACAAACGAGCACACAGTTCACCTGCTGGTAAGTGGTTACTGTGGCCCACAGACATCTACATCTATCCTCGAATACGAATCAAAATGCAGATGCGTTGTCACCCGTGAGGACTAAGATGAAATGCCTCGTTTCCTTTAAAAAGTGTCTCTGGTTCTCTACACTCACTATACGAAACACAGCATCATTAAGCTACTATTTTACATTGATATTCTGTGAGAGCGTGGTCCTTCCCCGGTCGAACCGACCCATTCGTGCTACAACTATACTTCTAATATAACTGCATGGTTCTACCACGCAGTGCTTCATTTTTTTTTCATTTTAAAATTGTTCTCGTAATAATCTGATTGTAAATAAATGTTCATTATTTTTTTTATAAATAGCTTATCGATTAAAACAAATGTTTAAAAATAATTAAATCGCGCTAATTAAAGTAGTAGGAATGTTTAAAGTTGAAATTGCCACTAAAAGACTGGTAATTGGGTCATCCACCCTACAAAGCGTGAATATAAAATTTTCATCAGATGCGTGTAATCGCTCTGGGAGCTTGTAGCAAACAAACTAAACTCGCGGCCAATGTGTGGACGCGGCGACCAACCTCTGCCAACAATCCTTTGATCTTTTGTAAAAAACCGACACCACACGGATCTCGCGCCAACTTGCGGGCCATCGTTCCAATACATACCAATGAAGCCCAAACACCCCGTCTACACGTTGGCCAATGCTATTGGCTACTACATTCGCCACTGTGTTGGCCAACGTGTAGAGGCGCCGTTATGTTATACTGCCTCTCTCCCTTCAAAACAGAACACGGTAGTGGATGCGCTGTTGTTTAGTCGTAATATGTAAAAGAGTTCTACCTACCAAGACGTACTTTTAGATTGAATATGAGATTTACCATCCACTTAATCGTAATGAAATCGTTTTTTTTATTGAATAAGAGTGACTAATGAGCACACAGTCCACCTGATAGTAAGTCTTTGAGTATTCAACCAACTGGTAAGTGGATGCTGTGGCCCATAGAAATTTACATTTATCCTCGATTAAGAATCAAAACGTAGATGCATTGTCACCTTTGAGGACTACGATGGAATGCCTTGTTTCCATTAAAAAAGGGTTTCCGGATCTCTACACTCGCCACACGAAACACAGGAGTATTGAGCTGTTATTTTACGCTGGTATTCTGTGAGAGCGTGGTCCTCCCGCGGTCGAGACTACCTATTCGTGCTACCACCATAATACAGCTGCAACGTGGCTCTGCCACGTATTAAATCGTATAAACTAATAATAAGGTGATGCTTCACAAATGAAATTTTAATATATTTCCTCCAAAGGAAAGATTTTTGTTTTATTTATGAGTAATTGCTGATTAATGGCGGCGTGAGTGAATTCCCCCATATCGTCTCGTGAGTGGCGTAAGAGGCGACAGAGGGAAACTGAAAAATGATATTGGCAGCAGCTTCATGATAATGTTAATGTTCCAAGCCATACTTAATGCTACTAGCGCCATCTAGTATCACGAACCCCAAGCTCGGAACAATAACAACAGAAAACAATAAAAAGAGCGGTCGCTATTCCGACAACCAAGCTGGTAACTATAGTGATAATCCCCATAAGAAGAATGAGCGCTGAGTGCTACACCACTGTTCGTTTGCCAAGTGTCTATGAAAAGTTAAGACAACAAAGAAGTCGCAACCTATTGCCTACCTATATTAAAACCTAAAGAGTCGCTCAGACAAAAATTTAAGTAAATTACTATATTAACTTTGGCCTCTCAATAAATTTATGAAAATGTAATGGACGTACACAAAAATAAAAGTAGTTTTACAAAAATAAGTGATAATATTTCTATAAATACAAGGAAAAGACACAAGCTGGTAGTACCAGTTCATTCTTGGATCGATGTACAAAATCCCAAAAAATATACAAAATTTGACCTGCACAAAGTTCAAAAACTTTATTGAACTAAGTTTATATAAAAAGGTTTATTATAATATTAAGGAATTTATGGATGATAATAACTCCTGGGAAGGGTGATCGCTACCAAGCTATTTCTAATTTCTTTCTTAAAGTCCTGCTGGGTTTCTTGCTGGTTCTTCCCAGGATAGAGGTTTTTTTACGAACCAGTGGTAAATAAAAAAGGTACTCAGAAAGTATTATTTACAATCTATATTAAATAAAAAAGTTCATATTGCACCATGATGTTTCGGCGCACACTGCGAACAAGACAGTAATTTTTGGCTACTGAAAAGGTTAGGCTTGTGACCCATCTTTCACACAGTCTAGA